CCAAAGGGCCAGGGACTGGCTGTCTTGCCCCCAGTGACACACTCAGTGGCTGTGGTGAGTGTGTCAGTTCTCAGCACCCCAGGTGGGTGGGGTGAGGGATCCCCTCAGACCGCTCCATACTCACAGCCCATTCCCTGCTGCTGGGCTAATCTGTTCACCATCCAGTTGAAGTTGAACAGGTAGCGATGGAACAGCAGCTCCAGGTCCTGCCACTGCTTCGGGGTCAGGCCCTGCTGGGCCCAGGGCTGCAGGAAGCGGATCTCGCAGGTGCTGCAGTCCATGGAGTGGGTCTCCAGGTCGCCCAGCAGGGCTCTTATCTCTGCGTCCGTGGATCTGGCGTTGTGGAAGACGTTGATTTGGAGCAGCCGGAGGGTGACAGACGCTGGGGGGACAGGAGGGGAGGCTGGGGCAGGGGGCAGGAAACAAGTGGAGGACAAAGCGGGTGGGGAGAGAGATTAATGAGTCTCTGTCCCGTAAACTATCTTGCACTACGGGGTCTCCCTGCTGATCCCTAACATGCCTCCCCCGTCCTACTCCCCCAGCCTGGTACTTCTCCACCCTGGCCCTAGTACTACACCATCCCCACGCATCCCTGCAGCAAAAACAGCAGGGGGGGTCCCCACTTACCGGCCAGGGCCCCCCATGCCCAGGGGAGGAGCAGCAGAGCGAGCAGCATCCCGGCAGGGGAAGGGGGACCCGGGCTCTGGTGGGCGTCAGGCAGCGAGACGAGGGGCCCAGGATCCGCAGGCGCTTTCAGCCTGCACAACTCCCTGCGAACTTCTCTCTTTGTCTGTGTTTCCTCAGCTCTGTGCCCGCAGCTGCCAGCCCCGAGCCAATGAGGGCAGAGTGAGTTGGGGAGCGGGGGCCGCGCGGGAGGGGGATCCCCAACAGCAAGGTCAGAAGAACACTCTCAAAGGACAAAAGTTTTATCGATGAAAAGTGCCAGTGTCAACAGCGCTCTCCTGCGACAAAGCCGCTCCCGCTCCTGGGGGAGGATGTTTTTTGCCGGCCTGAGACGTCTCTCCTGCCCACAAACAGCAGCTACACTGTGCGCCATTTAGCAGCCACAGTACAAGTGTGTGTGACGCCCCCTCCATCTCCTCCAGCCTGCGGTACCGCTGCTCCCCGCAAAGCCCCCGCACTGCCCTGGGGAATCGGGTCAGCCCTGACTGCCCGGGGAGAGCCCCCTGCTGCCCCCGCCCCGCCCCCTGCAGCACAGCCCCTAGCGCCGCCCTGGGGCCATGGGGAGCCCTGACTGCCCGGGGAGAGCCCCCTGCTGCCCCCGCCCCGCTCCCTGCAGCACAGCCCCTAGCACTGCTGTCATAACTAGAAAGGGAAGGGTAACAGCTCTCCTGTGTACAATACTATAAAATCCCTCCTGGCCAGAGACTCCAAAATCCTTTTCCCTGTAAAGGGTTAAGAAGCTCAGGTAACCTGGCTGATACCTGACCCAAAGGACCAATAAGGGGACAAGATACTTTCAAATCTTGGTGGGGGAGGGGGGGGGGAAGGCTTTTGTTTGTGCTCTTTGTTTTGGGGGTTGTTCGGTCTTGGGACTAAGAGGGACCAGACATCAATCCAGGCTCTCCACATCTTTCTGAACAAGTCTCTCCTATTTCAAACTTGTAAGTAAACAGCCAGGCAAGGCGTGTTAGTTTATCTTTCTTTTCTCAACTTGTAAATGTTCGTTTTGCTAGAGGGTTTACCTCTGTTTGCTGCAACTTTGAACCTAAGGCTAGAGGGGGGTCTTCTGGGCTCTTTAAGTTTGATTACCCTGTAAAGTTATTTTCCATCCTGATTTTACAGAGATGATTTTTACCTTTTTCTTTAATTAAAAGCCTTCTTTTTAAGAACCTGATTGATTTTTCCTTGTTTTAAGCTCCAAGGGGATTGATCTGGACTCACCAGGAATTGGTGAGGGGAAAGGGGAGGGGGGATGATTAATTCCTCCTTGTTTTAAGCTCCAAGGGGTTTGGGATCAGTGTTCACCAGAGAATTGGTGGAAGAGTCTCCCAAGGCTACCAGGGAAGGGAGTTGCACATTGGGAATGGTGGCAGCAAACACAGAGCTAAGCTGGTAGAGAAGCTTAGAGGTTTTCATGCAGGTCCCTACATGTACCCTAAAGTTCAGAGTGGGGCAGGAATCTTGACAGCCGCCCTGGGGCAATGGGGCCTGTGCCAGTGCCACTCGTTATGGGGACAAATGGTTATGAAAACCAAGACCCCAGTAAAAGAAAAAGGTTCTCCTGATCCCAAAGGACCAAGCCCCAGACCCAGGTCAATATTCAAGTCAATATTTATTAATTTCATTATTTAGCCTACATATCTATCTGCCATGAGGCTGCATCAATTGAAAACAAAAAAAATGAAATTTTATTCCTATCAGTTCTTGTTCACTATTAAAAGTAAAGAATAGAACACACATGTCACTTACTAACTGAGTCACTATTTGAATTTCATCAACTGTTTGATGTAAACATTGATTAAGAGATCAAGATGACTTTTCCTTAAAATTAAGCATTGTTGATTGTAATCGGAAATACACCATTTTTAGTCAGGTATACGTCCTTCCTTCATTCTTTCATATCAAAACCTACTACGTTTTATTCTAACTTTAGAATATCCAATTATTGTTATTAATAAAATTTATAAAATTAGAATGGCAAATACTCCATCATACAACAACTGACCATATCAATATGACAAATTTCAACACATATTCGCACATGATAAACATACACACTCAAATACTTCACATACACACACAACTGACACAAAGCATTAGCAAAATGATGCAGCAGCAATTGATAGGGTCTTAGATCTGAAACAACTCAACACAAATAGTTGCCTCGGTCGACAACTTCCAAACACTAGTAAACGGAGCATTATAAACAGCCTGTCAGAACGGGCAACGGCTGCGCGCGATGAGAAAAATGACGTCATTGCCACTTTGTACCGTAGTGAAGCCGCACACTTGTGCCCGCAATGCAGAGCTGGCGTAGGGAGGGTTACCATATTTGGATACAACGTGATTGTCAGAGAGGGAGGATTTGGCCCATGAAACAATAACTGTATTAAGATGCGGCCTGTGAAAAAGTTTGAGAAACCTTGACTTAAATTTCGTTGGTGACATGATGTAATATTCAGTATTGCCAACCTCAAACATTCAGAACTCATGAGTTGGGCCCCCACAAAAATCACTCGATATCTCACCTATCAGTCCTCATCCTCAAAGGAAACCTGCAAAACACTTTTCAAAAGTGGAGCCTGGGAGCTTGAATTCAAAATGTTGCTAGACATTAAAAATCATGATCTTCATAAAGATACTGACTTTATGGTTAATTACATCAACCTGCAACCCACTAATGTCCCCTTTTGTCCTGGGATTACAAGGCAGTTAATGGGCTACTTCACCTTGAATATGTGCTAACTACTTGTGCTAAACTATCTGTTAGATCTAGTGTTTAACTGTGACACTGTTAGTACCTTTTCAGACCTGAAGAACTCTGTGTATCTTGAAAGCTTGTCCCTCTCACTAACAGAAGTTGGTCCAATAAAAGATCTCACCTCTCCCACTTTGTGTCTTTTAAATAATGTGGCAGCAAAAGGGATTGTATAAAATCATGTGTCCCTGTAGCTAAACCCCATCACCCTGGTCCTTTTCAGGTGTTCATAGTGTGACAAAGTTCCTCCTCTATCTTGGTGGGTCCTGCACTTATTGGCAG